AATAAAAACAAATAATATGAGGTGATGAGAGTATAAAATGCAGATACCGAAAGTAGTGTGATTTCATTCGTATGATTATGAGCAGTATCACAGGGTGTGGTGTCTATACCGGGAAAACAAACCTAATATGTATATAAATTCTACTACAGTGCTCAAGTTTTACACCTATATTAAGTACTGGATGCCTGTTAAATTGCTTCTGTGTTTCATCTTTCGCTCTTTTCGCTCAATCGAAAATTTCGGGTTAGAAAAGGTGACCGCCTTCATATGGATGTGGAAGGCCACCACTCATCATTATAGTAAGGTAAGCAGGTGGTCACCGAGCCACCACAGCGGAGCAGCCACTTGTAAATTCCGACCAACTGAAGGAAAACGGCGAAGTATGAATCACAGAAGGAATGTTTGTGATGACAATTTGAATATTACTGGCAAAATATCATAATCTCCCATTGAAATATCAATTTTCACTATATGTTTAAGTTAATCATCATCTTCTTCTACCTCGTCGTGCTACTGATACGGCCACTTCATCTTTTGCACTTCTCTGGGCTGAATATTTATCCATTACTCGTACTTGCTTGTGACTACTACGAACCTCCCAAAATATATGTACTACTTTTATACATTCTTATTACCAGCACCCACTATACTACTACTATCACAGTAGAGCTGCATACATTAGAACCTGGTACAAATTTTCATCTTCAATCAACATAGTATGAAGTTAATGCCTTCACCACAAATCTTACGTTTTGAGATTTAAATCAATGACGAATATTTACGCCTGGTCATTAAAAAAACAAAAGAGGTTTCAACGAAGATAATTATTTTTTCACCGACTCATTTTCACAGTTATATATTCGTAAATTTGCAAGTAAAATCGTAAAATGTTTCAGAAAAATTTCCGGTCAAAATTCAAACTTAATCGACGGATGCAGAAAGGAAGTGAAATGATATTGGGCAACAGGAGAAATGTTCTCAGCAGTTTTTATAAAATGCATTAAACACTAAGAAACAGTATTTGATAAAGATAAATAAATGAACTATGAAAATAAGACATAAAAAGAGGTGCAGCGTATATGAATGAGGCTACGGTGAAAAGAGTGTTTGTACATGTTTCTTTTAAATACACAAATAAGGTTTTAAGTGATGAATTGCCAAAGATCCGGTTGTACATAGGTGTCTAACCCTCACCTCCTTCATAACGGTTAGATTTAATTTTGTATAGAACTTTGAAAGAGGTTTCTAGAACAGCCAGAGGTCCAGATAGAGTCTATAAGGTGTTCAGTGATAGAGATAGAGATAGTTTTGTTCTCTCTACTCACCAGCCAGGTTGCATATGGTTCGCGAGCGCCTTTTCCAAGTGACTGAATAATACGACCGATGTACTCAGCTCCACAGGAATAAGTGAACTGGTAAGTGAACATTCGAGAGCCCCTCTTTTTACTTATCGAGATATTTGGATGTGTACTTATCGATCCTAGCAGATAGAGGCTAAGTTCTTCTACCGTCTACTGGATTGACATGACATCACTTTTTCTTCAATAGCAATGCAAAACTTATTTTATCGGATAGTCAGTAACCATAATCTTGTTTCTGACCCCTGTTTCTAGAACTAAAGAAACTCAAGAAATAATTATTATCATTTTGACCAGCTGAGATTGCCATGGCTTGGTAGACAAGTATTGATACCGAGTGATGATTAAAGGCAAAATGAAAATTTGGACCGCGGCTGGATTCCAAACAGCGACCACCGGGTTTCCAGCTAAGTGCTCTACCAACTGACCTAGGAGGTCCGACTGCTGATCAGATTTTTATTTTACTTAAGCTACCAAGGGTTTTTCCTGATTACCAGGTGAATTCGTGATGCGTTACTATCGCTTGACCGTACTCACCGACTGCGGTCCAAATTTTCATTTCACTTTTAATCATCATCCAGTATAAATACGAGTCTGCCAAACCACGGCCATCTCACATAGTCAAAATGATAATCAATATGAAGCTCCCTCTCCCTAATTCAGTTAGATTTGGATTGAGATGAGAAGTCCTGACTGCTCGAACTCAGAGGCAGTACGATCAAGCGATAGTAACGCGTCACGAATTCACTTGGTAGTCAGGAAGAACCTTTGGTGATTAGTGAAGTGAAATAAAAATCTAGTGAGCAGTCGAACCTCGTAGGTCAGTTGGTAGAGCATCGGACCGGAAACCTGGTGATCACTGGTTCGAATCCAGCCGTGGTGTAATATTTTATTTCACCTTCAACCATCACCCAGAATAAAGAATTAATAAGCTACATATGTTTTGTTTTCTATGATTTGGTCATTTTTAAAACCTCTCTAGTTCCCCTTGTTTCACAATTTAATAACCTGCATTATTTAAACAAAATTTAACTGAGATATTGAGTATGATACTAGCGGGTACCCACTAGAGACATTAAATGATGGTAACACCTTATAGTAAATTGTCGGAAACAGAAGAATGTAGACCTTTGGATTCTTACCCTGCGGATAGATGACAATGTGTCTGTCAAGAGACTTGGTGATCTCGGTCTTGATCATCTACATAGACATCGATTTGCATGGCTGACGAGTCCACAATTGGGAGAAACGGCTGTTCAGTTGGCTTTGCTTCACTCAAACCAATATCAATTCATGGAGGAAATTATTTTCGAATTACATATCCCTACAAATCATTAACAAGATTGATATATTTTGATACCATTGAATTATGAAAACAAAAGTTTTATTTAACAAAATTAAATGCCAAAGACTGATTTTATGGTTTGTTTACATCCGATTTTGTTCACTCTGAGTCATCTAATTGGATGTTTTCCATATTTTTATAGCACAAGGTTTTCTTAGAAGATGATGTGAAGGAAGCAGAGTTGTGTAATCTGTAGAATTACACATGGACAAACCTTTTCTGGTGTGTTCTCTGAACTGCATGGTTTAATTGTGGAGCTTTCATTGTCATTCTAGACCACATCGTCAGCATGAATCAGTCTGAGTTGTGGTATTTCATAACTGCCTACTGTGGAGAATCCTTAGTATCACCAGTGATCAGCGTCAGCAATTACACAGATGCTGAAGACGGTTCATAACCCTAGCACTCACATCAAACGTGATAGTTGTTTTGCAACTTTTGTTCACACCAAAAAATGGACATCACGATCGTTTCCAAGCCAGCTCCTCTTCAGATATCACATCCATTAGCCAGGAACCAACTGGAAAACCTCAAATCAATCCACATTCACACGTCACTTACAGTGCATCAGGTGGTCACAAGTATATCAATGGGGTAGTGTTGACCATACCAGTTCACCGCATAAATTGCATTCCCCACTAAATTGACTTATCAATGGAAAGTAATGTGGTGATGGCCACATTTTATCGATTATTTTTCGGTCTGGAAGTTTAAAGACTCACCATCGTGTTCCACAATTTGACAGATATAAAGTAGGTGGATAAAATCTGCAGAAAACCCTAAACTCAGGCTTTGTACCTGTTAGCGCTCATCAGTAAGATCTATCCGCAACGTTAATGCAAGTGATGTCCTCTCAGAAACTGGAAGCCGAACTAAACAGTACTGCAATCAGAGATTTTGTCACTGAAATTAATCTCCTGAAGGTTGCAGATACATCTCTCTGATAAATGCTAAAAAGCATGTAACATCAGAGTAATTCTTTGGTTACTTATAGGATGAAAAGAGTGAAAGTCTCATGTGAATATGAAATGTTTGGATTCTCTGTATTCTTAAACCATAAACGACAGTATCATCAATCAGTACAGCCATTTTCAGTAGTCAAACTAGTGAAACTCTGAAATCGAAACTTGACTCTCTAGTCAAAGTCGTTTTAAGCCACCATGAGAGTGAGCGTTAATGTACAGATCCCAATATAGGTTAAAGATGGTCATCTGATAAGACAAATTATTTTCACTCTTTGTCAGAAAACCGTTAACTTGTCATCAGATTTATAAAGCTGATAGGAAGATAATCAGTTATCATACAACTTTCAATTTTCATGCTATAAAGAAGTTGCGAAGGTACTAGTTTTCAAGAGTAGAATAAAATAGCTCGTCTAAGGTGGATAAAGAAGAAATCTAGTAAAAGTAAAAGTTTTTCCCTAAAAGAAGAAAAACAAACAAGTCTATTCTTACCTTCCAATTAAAGTTTTTTTCGATGCTGTTTAAACCAGTTTACTTGGTTTTGGGCATCAGAGAAATTCAGAATGCACGTTTCGTCTTATTTAGGACTCTTCAGCTGGATGGACCTGAACCCCAGTGAGTGATGATGTTCTCACTGAGAGTCGAACCTCGTATTGATCACTTTAGACGCTAAGAAGTTATTCACAACACCACTGAGGCAAGATAGCCACCTCTTGTACAATGAGTATTAGTTATAACTATTTCCTGATATGCTCTCCGTTGTTTTACTGGATAGAATTGTTTGACTTCTATTGGCATATGTGCCCCTATGAGGATGCCTTGATTTTCTCTAAATATCTACTATAATAACCTACTTGTTTGTGGTTAACAGAGGAATGCGAGATGCATGCTTCATCCTACCTGGGACTCGTCGGCTTGATGTAACTGAACCCCAGTGAATGATGTTGTTGTTGAACGATATGATCCATTATAATAACGGAGAATTACAAATATGCCAACAAATAGAAATAACTGTTCACTAAATTCTTTGTAATTTCTCTATGATAGGTTTTCTAGTTCCATATATTATAATGATTACTTCTGAAAACAAATATTTTTTTGTTCCTGCTGTTGCGCAGTTATTACGCACAGATAAGTACACGCGAATGAAAAGTTTATGAATCATTCTACACCTGCTAGTCAGAGTATTCCGGCAGTGTGATAGTTTCTTAGTTGACCTTTTTAAAATATTATTCTATGTGAATAGGTAGGATTTACCTTGTTCATTTGTACATTCAAAATACTGTCACTGTTTTCTACCAATTCTCCATCTTCTTAACTTCTATTCTCTATTAGATTATACAATTCAAGATGCCTCGAAATGGTTCTGAATCTGGTAAGTGATCCACTATAAGAGTTTGATATATCATCGCTCTATAAACTATTCTCCATTTTTACATTGTCTCCAACTAGATATAATTACATGAAGTATAGTTTATATAAATCTGGTTATTGATTTGTCTAGTAGTATGTTATCCTATTAAAATAAGATAACAAGTTATGTACTGAAGTTAACTAAACCGAGAAGACGTCTAGAGATTGATGGAATGGACAATGAAATGTATCGGCTGTATGATGATTAATAATACTACATGACTTCTTCAAGTGACGTTCGTTGAATAGCGTTTGAACAGGTCACTAGTAACTGAAAAATGCCATCAAATAAATTCGGCACAATTAGTAAGTTGCAGATATTCTCCAACATCTCAGAAACGAATAAATTGTTCGTTCTTAGGATTTCGATTTAGCATTACTTTTATGAGTAGGCAATTTTTGTGCTCATGAATGAAATTTACCTGAATGGCTAAGAAATTTACGCTTGCTTGGACAATTAATTGCTTCCAAATTCCATCCTTAGCTGTTGCTTGATTTTTCAACAATAGAAGTTCTGAATGACAATTTCTATACTTTTTTTGGTTAGCTCTGGAAGAAAATATAATAAAAATGTTCACCCCATCTCAGTTAAAGTAGTTTTAGTCAAATACCCAAGTAATGAGGCAATAAAGCTTACTGGTGGTGCAGAAAATCTGTGACAAGAAATAAAACACATCAACAGTACCTTGCATTTCAATAATTACCCACCAAAATTTACAAATAAATTGGTAAGAAATCGAAAGAAAAATATTAGCACTACTAGTAGTAGTAGTAGTGGTAGTAGTAGCAAAACGTGTGTTATTAATAATCTACTACTAACAGAAATAATGGTGACAGGGTTGAGAGAGAATTTAAAGCCCCCTTCTGTGTTACCGGGCAAAGAAGTCACTTCAGAAGCATTAGAAACCTTCTTGATGAGGTTGAATGGCATTAAAGTGGCATTAAAATCAACAAACTAGTTTAGAAGGAAGCTATATAGGTTAAAACATCCTGATGATGCAAGTAAGCAAAATAATCTGGTTTACTAAATCCGTTGCAATGATTACGAGATCAAATACATAGGTCAAAGTAGTCGATCAGCGGCGATTAGAATAACGGAGCACAAAAACTTAGCTAAATCAAGATAAGTATATCCTAATAAGATAAGAAACCTGGCTTGGTTGACTAGTTTACGAGTTAATAGCCGGTTATAACTCCGGGCAAAGATTAAAGGTTGGGCATACGGCTACCAACCCTACACTAGAAAACTAATACAATCACCAGACAAACTTCAAAGCACAAGGAAAATATAAAAAATAAAAAAACTTATTCTTCGCTGGAATCGGTGAGATGAAATTATGTCAGCTGGTGAAAGCCTTCGGGAAGTCAATTGGCCGATGTGTCTTCTCTCTCGATCAAAGCGAAAGTAAGGATGAGGACATGGAATGTCCGCACCATGTACGGACCCAGCAAGGCTGCCCAGATTGAAAAAGAAATGAGGAGGTATGGTACAGAAGTGCAAGGAATCTGAGAGGAATCAGCATATGGAATGGAAGTGGACTCTCCTAACTGTCAACTGGAGAGTCAATAATCAACTCCGATATTGTCACCCAGATAACAACCACGAGCAAGCTGAGTTTTGGAGTGGCTATCGTGATGTCCTTAACAGCATCAAAGGCTTTCTGTCAGGCAATGGGAACCAATTTCTTCAAGAATCAGAACCATGACAACAAGATGGATTCAACTTAAATGGAAGGTAAGTCATGAGCTACACTACACACCTACAAATAACGCAGATGAAGAGAAGAAAGAAGAATTCTACAGACAATTGCGATCAGTACTAGACAAGTCTCGACTCCAGTTGGCTACGGTTACATCAAAATTCTAGTGGGTGGGGTGACATGAATGCCAGACTACGAAGAGCAGACAACACAGGAAGAGAACTCATCTATCATGGGTCGAGAAGCACTCGGTGAGATGAGGAAAGACAGTGGAGAACTGTTTGCAGACTTCTGAGCATTCAACAGATTAGTGATTGGAGGCAGTGTGTACAAAAACAAGGATGTTCACAAGGCAGAGATATAAATTTGATTTCACCAGACACCAAACAGTAAAAGTCAGATTGACTTCATCTCAATGTGAAGGAAGTGAAGACACAGCTTACTGAACACAAGATCAGATCAAGAAGAGGAGCAGATTTAGGTTGTTGGGACCACTCACTATCTAGTGCGAGAAACCTACCTGCAAAATCAAGTTGAAAGCCTTCACAGAAGTTGGTGATAGACCAGAGTTCAATTTGAACGCCCAAAACAGAAATTGGACTGAAGCACGAAAACACAAGTAACATATTCAAGTCAGTCAGTCATCAGGACAAAATGTGAGACATTGAGCAACATCTCTGAAGGAACCTACGTGCAAGAACAATGGGACTATTTGAAAGAGATCAATGCTCAGTCCTTGCAGGAACTGGCGTGGAATCATGCTCCACTCCTGTCCACCCCAAGCAAAATATTATGCCGCATCATCCTGAAGAGGCTACAAAATGCTCTGCATTCACAACTATTACCGGAAAAGGCTGGTTGGCTGGCTGGCTGGCTGGCTGGCTGGCTGGCTGGCTGGCTGGCTGGCTGGCTGGCTGGCTGGCTGGCTGGCTGGCTGGCTGGCTGGCTGGCTGGCTGGCTGGCTGGCTGGCTGGCTGGCTGGCTGGCTGGCTGGCTGGCTGGCTGGCTTCAGACAAAACAAATCATGTGCGAATCAAATTACAACACTACGCTACTCATCATCATAGAACAGAGCATAGAATGCTAGTCAACTTGATCTTTACCTCAACTTCATCGACTTCGAAGAGGCCGGCCTTCGACAGCACCGACCGAGAAGTAATTTGGCAGGCACTTGCTTGAACACTGCGGTTTTAGTCCCACAAACATTCATCAATCTCATTCAACAACCATATGAAGACGCATGCCACATGACAAGTGGTTCACAATGGAAAGCTCAGTGATGATACCTTTGGAGTGAAGATAGGAAGAAGTAAAACAAGGTTGCCAACTACTACCATCACAGATGGTCTTCCTGATTCTGGTCGACTGGACTCGATTGGGCCATGCAACAGACAACTGTAAGGAGTAAGATGAGGAGTGTACGCAGGCTGGACTGATGAGAAGACGGTAGAAGAAGATTTGGATTTCACCGATGATCATTTATATCTTATGCCTCACAAACTCGAAGATGTTTACTCAAAAGCTAGCAAGTCGACAGAATAGATGATGTGAGTCAAAAAGGAAGACAGGACTTCCTTCAGGTGAACGTAGGGAAGACACAGGTGGGGGAGATACCCAACTTAACCAACAACAACAACAGCAAGCACCAATCACCATGAACGGGAGAAAGCTAAGGGAAGAAGTCTCTTTCATCTACCTCTCTACCTGAGCAGCATCGTTTCAACTACAGGTGGCAGAGATGAGGATGTCAAAGCCAGAATCGGAAAAACAGCAAGACTGGTCTTCATTAATCTGAAATCAGTGTGTAGGTAGGCTGCAATTAGCATAAAGTGTGAACAACATCCTGATTTCCAATACTAATTCAGTCAAGTCAGTCAGTGCTTCTATGTGATGGTTAAGAGAGTTGGCGTGTTACGACAAGCATTTCCAACAAACTACGGACATACATCATCAACAGCTACCGCCACCTACGCTCACTGTATACTGAAGATTAGATCGGATGGCCAGAAAGAATAAACAGCAAGGAACTCTGGCAACGAACCAACCAATAACCTATCGCACAATAAATATGCAGAAGAAGAAAGTTGAGATGGATTGGGCATACACTGAGAAGACGATTTGAGGACATCACGCTTCAGGCCAGGCCATCGGGTGGAACCCAAATGGGAAACGACAAGTTGTGCGTCTTAGCCGAGGATGATATGGAGGAGATCATGTGAAGAAGAAATGAAAGCTTGTGAGGAGTGGTGGAGCCAGGTTGAGAATACTGCAGAGAACAGAGTGAAATGGAGACGTGCTACTGAGGCCGTATATTCCACTAGGAACCCGAAGGACAGATAATGATAATAAAAAATAATAAATTTTGAGAATAGCTCGACTATAGCTCTGCATGCAGTCGCATACAATCACATAATAGGGTGGGATAGAGCGACAGCGTGAAAAACCAACTTATTAGGGTGGGGGGATATTGATAACGGAATCTTTGTTTATCAACTCAATACCACATACATACAACAGAAATAATTCTGCACTTGTCCCATATATCTGGAAAATTCTTCTAACCTTGTCATCACAAAGAAGAAGAGGAAATTAGAACTTAATAAACTCAGTCTCAAAGTTGTGGAGTTAGTTACCTGATCTGAGTATGGTTACTAGATTGTGTCCGAAACATGATCCAGTAGATGATACTGTTTCACTGTATGACATTTCTAATAAACAGACTAAAATGGATTTATAATCTATCACAATACCCAAATTTTACTCCTATGCCCTTTAGCAACGTTAAAAGAGGAAGAGGAATAATATCGATCCGTGTTATTCGGCTTCATTATGTGATTGTTTAAGCCTATCCACCAAATGTGTTAGTAGTTTTGAAGGTTAAATATCTTGATACAAAAGTAGGGATTATTTTCAACGAAATTGAAATAGCCCACCTCGAAAAGTCATTATATTATATTCAACATTTCTTTCCGAAAAAGTTACCGTGAAATAAAATTCTTATTTGTTTATATCCCAGCTAAACAGAATCTATGAAGGTTTTAAAACATAACATGTTAAATCAGGTTAATGTAAAGAAAGACGAAATATCAGTAGGTATAAAAACAGAATCAATACTGACTATCACACTAGTTAGCATAAGTAGCATTAATACATGTTTTACATAAATAAATATCACTAAAAAGGATGTTTGTTGTAGCAGGATATTAAAGCGTAAATGGATTAATTATATTAGGATTTGCATAAAATAATGTACACTGTTGACAAAGATAAAACACTACTGTCAATAAGTCCAAATTCCCGGCTCACTGGATTCCTTAACTTGAGTATTGATGAAGTAGGTAAAATGATGTCACAATTTAAAGCAACTGGTCCCTTTGATAAATTTAAACAGCGTAATGAGAAGACGAAGATTATCTGAAACAAGTCCTGATGTATTAGTGCTATACATTTCGAACAATCTGACCACATATAGACTTGTCGAACTATTTATATGAAAATTTACGAAAAGTGTCAATGAGGTTAATAGGAAACATAGGAATAGGAAGGGATAGAAAAAAAGGAAAACCTTACTCTTGGTATCAAAACTGAAATCAATACTGCTAAGGTAGGTTTAACGTGAGTACAAATTGTTTTTGTATACAACAAGTGGGGTTAAATTTACGGATGGCAAGAGCTTCAATAAATTTAAGCACTCGGCCGTGACCACTTTTGTGTAGTACTTTAAAGGCTGTTTTCATGTCTATCCTATGGTTAGTTTCTAGTATATGTTAAGCGATAGACGAAGATGGATGTTTGTCACCTGCACTTATCGAATCTGTTGAGATCATTTGTTTTTGTAGCCACTTAGGTACATGTTCAACCTTCCTTAACTGCATATCACGATTACTCCTCCCTATGTATGTATGTCCTCAAATGGATGTAAATTGATAAACACAGTGGGATGTGATGTAATCGTTTATATGTTGTTTTGGTTTGTGCTGTAACATGGACTTTGTCTTCTCTACAATGATGACCTTAGCTGCATAATACGTTTTACAGATGGCCGATCTAAGTCTTTTCTTCACAACAAAGCTATGTGAATCACCTCTAAATGGTAATGAGATATAGACATTCATCATAGCAACGGAACACTGTGTATTTTTCAGTGGTACATAACTTTTGCACCGGTCGATAAATCTCAACGGGTATCCATTGTGTCAGAGTTGTCGTCAGTAAGTTATTTTCTTCACATGTTTCAGATAATCTTCGTCTTCTCATTACGCTGTTGAAAGATGTCAGAATTGACAGAATTCGAAACATTTATTTTAAATTGCATTGGATGAACTGGATGTTATATCACTATGGGATAGAAGTGGAAAAGTGTGAACTATTGGATTCACTGCAGAACCTGAAGGTCCACGGTTCAGTCTCTGGTGAGGTCGTAGGTGTGAGTTATTGATGAGTTACATAACAGGACGTAATAGCTATTTTGTACTGTTAGGTTTACAATGGTTCTCAAAATGATATATATCACCTCATGACGAATAGCACTCTCGAATCATTATCAGATCCCTTGAAAATCATATAAATTGAAAAAAAATGAGATATAGACATCTATTCGTTTAGAGTAATACTTTACCTACAGTGACATGGTCATACTATTTTCATGGGTCTGAGACTCATACGTGTAGAGAGTTGACTTTCAACCAATGGGTAACGAGTTCAAATGTAGCTATTTATCTAACGCTTGAATGTACACAAGGCTAGTGAGTGCATTATCATCGCATTACATTCAAATAATGCTTAATCCTATTATACCTCAGCGAGAAACTTGGTAGAAAGTCCTAAGACTCCTATATCACTCAAAATAATGTCTAACCTAAACATATCAGCACATGTAGTTCTCTACTTCGAAGTAATAGGTCATGTTGTTAAGCTAGAGAGGGTCTAAATTCTGAAAAAAGTGATGTACTAACTTTCCAATCTAGAAACATTTCTAACACTCAGTATAGTAAGTAAGAAGTTGATTAACACTTCGTTAACCCTGGACTTTGTGGCAATCCGGCAAACGGAGATTAAATAGACCGATATTCTTTTCATCGAAAAAACGTAGTAACTAAGCCATGGATGGTTTGTATGTCATACTTGAAATGCGTTATCCCTCCATGTATGACAGACGGACAGACCGACAAAACCAACGTAGAACCTCGCACACAAGTGCATTGACTCAAGTTGCAATACTTCACGTTACAATACAAAGAACAGGTGATTAGAATTAGAGTAATCTCAAAGTAGACAAAGTTGTATGTGAGAATAAGCAATCTGAAGATAACAGTTCGTACAAATATTCAAGCTTTAGAAGATGCTAACGGGTGAATACATCTGTACCCTTATGACTGATTTTCAGTTATGTCACCGACAGTCCTCATCCACTGATTATTATCGTCTCAAGGATCCCAACGAGACAGTCTACATCTTATACACGGCTCACACTAACAGTCAGGGAATTCACCGACTGGCTCCATATCTTGGTCTGGTCACAATGAACCCTTTTCCAACCTAATTCAACTTCCCTTAGCATGGTAAGTTGAGGTAGGTGGTGGATCAGTATGCGCAATATATATCCAAGCCATCTCAGCCAATAAACGCTCACAAATTCATCAACAGACTTGTTTTTCTTGTCTGGTACCTTTCACCCGACTTCAACATTGCTCACATGATGATTTCACTAAATGTGACCAATGTTATGAAAACATCTGTGATCGAAAGTCTGTAACCACTCTATGTCTTCTGTTTTTAACCACCGTAACCTATAGCCTTATAACAGGGAAGAATAACCTGACTGTAGGACAGTATACTAGTCATTTGATAAATAGTTGGATATCTCACCAGTCGGCACAAAAGATAGCTAAATCTGACAAATTTCAGATTGGTAGGTATCTAAACTAGCTAAACAAATAAATTTTCCACTATGTGAATTTCATCTTTTTTTCTCTTCGAAAATTCAAATTTATCTGATTCTAGCATCTTTTGAACTAGACTGGATATTTTTACCTTTGGGTTTACCGAAAGAAGGTGAAGAAATGTTCATTTTGTCCAATGAATCAATTATAAACAAACCTATTCAAAATACAAATCTACATCATATTCCTCAACCAATCAACTTTTATGCCCAACCAAATAATATTCCCAAGCTGTCGAAATTACTGACCGATTGTCAACTATCTCAGTTGGATAAAGTTGAAACTTTGTTACAGACTAGTAAAGATTTATTTAAACCATTTATACTGGAGTCTGTGAAGTTATTAAATCTGGAAAATTCTGCTTGTTTCCTGATTCGACGTATAACAAAACAACTAGAAGAACAAACCTATTCAGCTTCACAGCAGCCTGGATTAATTGGATCCGATTTGAGTAGGTGGACAGATAGTCATTTGTACATATCAGGTGATTTAGTCAATTCATGTAAAAAGATAAATAACCTAAATTTTTACGAGTCACTATATTTTGTCAGTTTATGTACTGGATGCAAGTGTTTCGAATATCTGCAAAATCTCTTCATTCAATAAGCTGTATGAACCTTAAATTCCATTTCTGAACATGCTAAAAAAAATTTGCATTCGGTGATTCTTGAAGCAGAATTAGTTACCTTCAGTGAGATAGGCGGTTGTTATCAGTTTGCCAAGTTGTGAAGATTTTGAAAAAAATAGCACTAAATCACTTGTAACGAATAAATTGAGGGAATGGCCAGTGTAAGCGTAATCGGCAATTAACACCACACTTCATGCAGAGGTGCCACATTCACATATAATTGTCAGGAAAACACCGAACTTATGCCACTTACAAAATAAACATTGTGGGGCAGTTATTTTAAAAGATTTGTAAATAAACTGGAATTAATCGATTCCTGAAACTATTTTTGCTATTTGATAGCAACTTACTATTCTAAAGGTGATTACTGTCTCTTTGTTTATTGAAAGCGCATACCTTAGTTGACCAACAAGCTTAGCTGGCTGTTGAGGTTATTCTCTTATAGCTTATCATCCCATAAAATTCTGTTGGACAGTGGAAAAACTAAATGCAATCCCTTTTATGACGTAGGCTCTTTACGTTGTGGTGCAGTGGCGAAGAGGACAGTGAAGCCATCCTGTTAGCTTGACGAGAAAGTAGTGCTGGTTACTGGGATACTTAGATACTCTTACTTCTCTCCCCGATAAGAACGGGATGAAACTGCTAAACCTGGAGAATTGTACACTCAATGTTACTGCTACTTTTAGTAATGAATACCACTTTGGGAGGAAAATCACTCAAAAATGTCACATGATAGGTTTCAGACAGACATTCAGCAATCACCAACATCATACAAAATGAATCTTATTTTCTCTTTTAGTTCTTCCATAAGCAGTTTAACTTTTGTGGTTCAAATATCTACCAAGTAATAATTGCCGAAATAGTTTCAATGGTGGATTCCATACATCTGTTCATCCCCTACTTCGTTCAACTTCATCTCTGTTTTTACTCATAATTTTACTGTGTTTACGATGTTTTATGCCTTACTTGACTCTGTTCTTGAAATCTTCGAAACCTTGTTGCCAGCTGCATTATGGAAATCACAACAATCCTATCCGATGTGAAATTGAACTTCAGGACCTGATGACGTAAAATCTTACATCATAGACTGTGAATTTATATCATGCTGTTTAGATGCACATAACAGACAAAAGAGGGATTATTTATTCAGTCTTATTTTTTCTGTAACATCCTTCATTTACCTGAAGACGCCATTGTTAGCACTGACATAAGACACAGGATTAAGTATCAAAGCGTAATGTTCAATTCCCAAATGGATCCCAGTTGGTAGTTGCTTGGATGACCCGGCTGAACAAACGGATAGGAACTAGAAACGATTATACGATTATTCGTGGTCTTTTCTCAAAAAAAGTTAGGAATAAGATAACTTATAATTCCAAGTAAAAACAATCATTGTCGTTGCTTAAGGTAAATCACCTAGAGACAATTATATGAACTGGTTACTCAGCCTTCCAGTATGAAAACTGATTCAATTGGAAAAACTTCTTAAAATTATTTTCATAATATTATTTCGTCAAGGCGAACTTTAGATCATCACTAAATACTTGTTCTCAAAACTAATAGTTTCGGGTCACTACTAGCTCTGGATATTAGGTTGTTTACAAAAACCCTGAATGATTTTATTGCTATAAGCCATTCCTAATAACACCAATAGAATGTTGAAAAGTGTTTTTCAGTATCCACTACCTATATTGCTAATTTTCAAGAGAGTATGAGCTTCCGCGTGAATGAATTAAGAAGGTATTCAGTTACACACCTTCTAATATATTTTTTCTTCCTAATGTAAGTCGTGTGTCACAAAAATACGATTTGAGAAATACTGAAGTTACACACTGACCCACACCAGCTGACATAATATAGAAATATGCCAGACACATTAAGCCACTATCTTACTTAAAGTGTACAATCAGGTTGAAAGAAGGTTAAGAATGGCTAGACGAAGATATGGTGGTAATCCACAAACCGACTGTTGGTATGAACTGGGCAAATAGTCATAGAATTCTATGCTAGAGTAGTGGAATTTCCATGCATAAGTGTAACAGCCCTATCTTCTTCCATATCCTTCCGGCTTACTTAAATATTATTCAGTCTTTCTCTACTTCCTCTCTCTATGGTGTGTCATTGTACCAGCTTGGATTGATACAGTTTATTCATCAATCTCTCTGTCTTCATCGGAGAAGTAATTTTTTCACTTTTGATGTTAACAATGTTAGCCGTATATGTAGTGTAAAATTATACTTCCAAATGACTCCAGAAGATAGCACTTTTGTAAAGCAAAGTGACTACATAAGAATCCTAACCTCCACCGGCACAACCGCTAATCACTCATTATGAAATCTTTCCGTTCTGTTTGTTCTCTGATTTCAAATAGAATGATCAGTACACAAATAACTTACAAACTACACGGTTCATGCTGGAATTTCCCACAGACAAGTGTTCTTTCAAGTGCTTAGTTGCAGCGTCAATAAGGTTTCCAAAGAAATCACTGCACAAATGAGAATACAAGGTGTTATTTTTGACGCAAAAGTGTCATGAAGAATCAAAATTTGTTACTGAAAAACATGAACACTGAACAGTCTTTTGGCTAATTTGACACCAAGCTTATCAACGGTGTACCCAGGCAAGTACATCTCACAGAGCCGAATATTTCAGACCAACTTTTTGACCTGAAATAGAAGGTTCCCAACGAAAGTTCTGCTAACATCACACTTGGAAAGCTGAAAGGCTACTCAGCTGTAAGAAATGTCAACGTGAAGTGTACAATTCTCCAGTCATTTGCAAATTTCAAGTTGGTATTCGTCATGGACAGACATCAGTTGGAGGACCGTTGGAAACCTGGGAGCACTGGACAGATGTTTCGTCCCACTATTATGGGACTCCTCAACAATAAGCACCTATGACCTTACAAACCCCTAAATTAAATTATTCTAGTGCTGATTGGTGACTAGCTTCGAGAGGAGATTCTTGAAGTCCTAATGAGTAGTCATGACCGGTGGGGTAAACCTGGTGACTGCGAGGAAAAATACTCAACGATGATATCGGGTGATGGTCACGCTGTGTCGTGAAGTGACAGGAGTTGGAAATAAGGACCAATAGATTTCAACATAGTGTTGGCTCAATGGTAACGTGCTGACCACGGAAACTGGAGATCTAGGGTTCGATCGGTAGGTAGGGGTGGTGTCATGGGTGCGCACTGCTGAAGAGTCCCATACTAGTGGGGCGAAACATCTTTCCAGTGCCTCTAGGTTTCGAATGTCTCTCCAAAGGATATCAGTCCATGATAAATACCAACTTGACAAATCACTCAATCTCCACAAACTTCCTAAATTAAACATTTGCAAGCTTATCGTCCTATTTAAAGTATACTAGCCCATCCAAGTCAGCTAGTGAGATTCAGTTGATCTGAAAATTTGTCTCTGTAAGCTGAAGTTGAACAAGTACACAGCTGATAAGCTCGATTCCAAACGAGCGAAATAGCCTTCTAGTGTTTAGATCACTGTTATCTGTCTAATGATATCTATATATCAGTATGAATAGTTTCCAACTACTTTTTTGGTTTCAGTAGTATAATTTGTTGATTTCTTTTGGATTCTTTAAGTAATGTAAAGCTATCGTCACCTACAGAACTTAAGTGGAAAATATTACTCAACTATTTAAAGGTTTTAGTGGTGTGTGATGACACTTTGTAGCTCAGTTTTACTCTCTTTTTTTGTCCTTAATAAAATGCTCCAGTTTCTTCTATTATAAAAATATGCATGTTTTACTTATTAACCTTATTACAACAGAAAGAACAAAGAAATCACAGAATAGAAAGTAGAGAAAAGGAATTTTTACAAACAGAACAACAAAGTGATAGTGAACGAGTTTGTCTTTTTTTCTCTTTCCTTTAATTTTTCTATTTGTCTCACCTTATACTTCAATTTTCTCATCTTTATGGTAATAAATGAAAATAGTAGAAAGAAAGAAACGTAGATTAGCTTCTTATTTTTTAAAGTCCGGAGATAAGAATTTAAAGGAATAGAAAATAAAAACGTTTTATAAGAAATAAGAAGAGAAAAGGTCATTTAATTTTTAATTATTAGATCACAACACTTCAACGTATCTCTATAGCATTTTATTTCACTCACTCCTATTTTGTTACAAAATTTTTTATCATTCCATTTCCTTTAAATTTTTAAGATGAGAATAGATAATTCCTTTAGATAGTTATGAAACTCACTCTCTCTCTCTCCCTCTCCCTCTTTCTCTCTCACTTTAGAAGGATATAGGATTCATTCAGTACATAATAAAACTAATAACAAAAAGAAACTAATTGTTACTTAGCATGACCGAAAGATATATCTCAGTGGCTACTTTACCTTACTGAATAAGAAGTTATTTTATTTATTTATTTATTTTCCCTTGGGTTCCTAGTGGAACATAGGGCTTCATTAGCACGTCTCCATTGCACTTTCTTATCTGCAGTATTCTCAACCTGGCGCCATGACTGCCCACAAGCTTTCATTTCTTCTGCACATGATCTCTTCCATGTCACTCTCACCTCGGACGCCCAACCTGTCGTTTCACCTTTGGATTCTACTCGACTGTCTGACCTGACGCTTGATGTCCTCAGTTGGCTTTCTCAGTGTATGCCCGATCAATATCCACTTTCTTATTCTGCAAATTTGTTTGGTGATAGCTTCTTGGTTGGTTCGCTGCCAGTTCAGAGTTCCTTGTTGCTTATTCTTATTATTCTGGCCATCTCATCGATCTTCAGTATCGAGTGAGCGTAGGTGGCGGCAGCTAATGATGAATGTCTGTAGTTTGTCGGAAGTGCTATTCCTGAAGCCCCAGTTTCTGAACCATCACATAGAATCACTGACTTGACTGACGTTGGTATTCAAAATGAGGATCTCGTTCATGCTTTATGCTGAGTGTAGAAGATCTCCACACTGATTATTTCAGATTAATGAAAGCCTGTGTTTCTATCTTTGCGTTCCTGGATTTGACATCCTTGTCTGTGTCACCACCGCGGCCTGTAGTTGAAATGGTGCTGCATTGTCTAGGTAGGTGAAAGAGACTACTTCCTTTAGGTTTCTCCCATTGATGGTTATTGGTGCTTGTTGTTGTTTTTGTTGTTGGTGGTGGTAGTTGGGTATCAATTACCCCCTCCATCTTCTCTACATTCACTTGAAGTCCAGTTTTCAGTGACCATCTTCTTTTGTCAACTTGTTAGTTTTCGCCTGTCGACCTTCGAATACAAAGTATTCTTGATAAATGGGTGGTGTAACCATCCGCTCGATATTCGCATCTTTTGTATCCAGAACAGCATTAGTTTGTGAACCGTGTGTATAAATTTTACTAGCTTATGATTTCCAGCAAGGATATTCAAGTCAGCATTTTCTTCAGGCCAATGTATTGGGTACAAGCTTTGGGAAAGAAATATACTGACTAATTAAGCGTTACGTCTCCCTTGGGCTTCCGCTAACTAAATGCTATTCCTGTCATCTTATTCGTTATCTTTTTGTTCATCATATCGTTCTTCTGTATATGTATCATCCCACTATTGAGTAATTTAAAAGGATTTGCTTACCAACCCTAGACCTCACTCTATTTTTAAAATCTAACTACCCATAACAGCTTGTTTCTACGCTAAATAAATGCATTTTATAATTGTAGAGCCTGAAGAGAACTTACTGAAAAGAATATCCTTCGTTCAGATTATTGCTTTTTATAAATTGAGTAGTTCCTTATTTATACCAATTTACAAGTTGAGAATTCTGAAGATGCCTTTCCCACATCCTATCTAACAACATGAAACGACATGAATGAACACTTATGCTATCAGATGCAATTTCAGCCTGTAATAAGCCTAAACGTTGCCACACCAAGACATTTGATCAACCAATAAGATTTCTAATTCTTAGTCTGGTTTATTACACATTCTCGTATTCATTAAGCATACCATTTTGATCTTTTATAGAGATATTCTTTAAAATAAAAGTTTACATCAGTAATATATTTATTTATTTATTTTATCATCTCAGCAAACGTTCAGTTTGTTCCCAATGTGGTGCCTAACTTTACGGTTACAGCAGGTGAGTGTGTAATAATGTTTCTTGTAGCTAAATTTTCAAATTGTGTATTTTCAATAAATGCTCAGTTACTTTCTTCAGATGAAGCCTTGTACTGAGGTTAGATCTTTATGAGAAAAAACGGACACTTCCCATACAGTAGTAGTAGGTAACATTCTCGAGGATTACAGATATTACTGACCATACTTAGGTTTCAAACTTGGTTGCGTTATGTTCTCTGAGCGAGAACACACTTCAGTACAACAACTTCACGGAGAAATGAAGAAAATTATTTGATGTTCATCCTAAAGAAGAACGGCTACCCAAGAAACTTTATCAGAAGATGCCTATCTCGTACAGCATCAACTACAACGTCATCGACAGAAATCAACAAACGCATCATCCTACAGTACATAAAGAATATATCAGAAATCACTACAGGATTACTGAGACCACTTGGAATTGGTGTGGCTCATCAACTAACAAATTCCCTCCAAACACTATTATGCAGACCAAAGGATGCAACAACCAAAGAAGACAAACCGAACATGATTTATAAAATCAACTGTAATAACTGTAGTCAACACTACATTGAACAAGGTGGTCGCCCTCTTCACCTTCGTCTATATCAACACCAACTGGACGTGGATAACAACTATGGACATGAATTCAGTCTTCACAATGTATAAATTTTGGACAGAGGAAACACAAAAAACGTCAGAGAATTCCTAGAAGCTTGGCATTCAAGGTCAGTTAGCAATCAATAGGTGTATAGACATAGAACCGATCTATCAAAAAGATGATAAACGACAGAAAGGTCAGAGGTCAAGTAGAGGGATGGCCAACAGGAAAATCTATACACTCAATGACACAACAATCAAAGGGAACAACCAATCATAGACTGCTTCGTCAAGGCAAGCTACTAAATCACTCGCGGAGAGATATTGACAGCTCACTTCATACTGAAATTAGTGCTGATGATGTCGTCTGGCAGGGCGATGAAAGATTCACGATTAAGCAATTCAGCTCAGAGAACACAACACAACCAAGACCATCTACCTGAGTTACAAATATTCTCCACTATTTCAGTTTCAAATTTGTTAGACACAAGCATCTGAGAAGATACTCTTCAAAATGTTGATTAACTAATGAACAACAACCAAGTCCTACGTCCTTATTGAATTCTACCGATTATTTTGCAGTGTTGTTCACTGTCGCAGTGCACTTCAATCGATCCAAGTTGATTGAAACTAATGGGTAGGAATCTTAATTCGAAACTTTGAGATAACATCAGTCTCTTTGTGGTCAGCGATTCGCTTCACTGGCCAGTGCTATCAATCACGAAACCTAGGCTATGCAAGACATCTTGTAGATTGCTTGCAACCGACTAAAATCAATTTAAAGCAGTTTTAGTCATACATGTTTATTACAGAAGTAAGATTACTTTAATCATCAAAATAATGCCATAAATTAACATTTGGATTTATTTCATAGTCTTTTTAGCTGTGTGAGAGGAAAAATACCACACTAATGAATAAAATTTGCGGCTTCGGAGGAATATTCTAATGGTGTTATATTTTTTATCATTCTATATAGCATTAACAGCACAAAACTACCAGGGCTGTGTTTCAAGAAATCCTGGAACAGTGTCTTAGTTACTTCTCAGAAGCGAACAGAACAATCTTCTTTAATTTCTTGTCATGTTTTGCACATATGTTGTAACTGGCTGTCTTGCTGACGTAATCCATGACCTCACAGAAATATTCTCATCTTCTCTGTTGGACTGAACTCGTATCTAAAAACCTATTATGTCGCTAACTAATACGATTATGTTTTACATAACCGAAACCGTTTATAAAATGCACATCCTTTGAGCGAAAAAAATCACACACCTTTACTAAAATATACCCGAAAATTCGTCAAAGAGTTTGAATAAGAGATTCGGAACTGCTTACATGGAACACTAAAGAAATTTCTGTTGGCGCTGATATGTAGATAGCGTTAGTAATCATAACACATCTACAATGAAGCGTATCAAATAACCAGAATATCAAGGGAAAAGCATGTCCATTTTGTAAACGACCTTTGTTTTATACCAATGGTAACGGGCTCACATTCAACAGGATGTATTTATTTCATAAATCTCTTCTCCTTCGTGGAATCATAAACAACAACAACAACAACAAAGTGAGTAGAATAACGTGGCAGCGTTTTATCTTGTCAGTTCTTCATCAGCTGTTTACAAACTAGAATACAACAATATCAAGATTTTAATAGGAGCCAGATCAGTAGCTGAAATCAGTACAGTGTAGCCAAAGGTCATGACAGTATGTCTGGAAAAGACAAGAAAGTATGTCCTTGAGACATTTTGGAAATCCTACAACTCACCACAGAAGACGCTTTGAATTGTGAAACCACTTGTCATTTAACTAGAAAAAACAAATCAAGTGGGCATATTGAGATTTTTCTAAACAGAGTGAACAAAATCTCTCAAAATTCTTTGAAGTTATGGCCATAATACGCCTAGGAACTGATATGTCCAATCAGAAAAGGCTGTTATCAGCATCTTTCCATATTGCAGACTTAACTTTATAACTTATCTGGTCATTACTGGGAGATGGTTGAAGGGGAAATGACGATTTTGGCCATGACAGGAATCGAAACATCGACCACCGGGTTTCCAGGTCACTCCTCTAGCAACTGAACTACAAGACCCTATTAGTGACCAGATTTTTACTTTATTTCAGTCACAAAGAGTTTTGCTCGACTTCTAAGTGAACTCTTGACTTGGTATTATGGCTTGATTGTACTCACACTGTCTTCCCAGTAAGGAATTTTCATCTCAATCCAAATGTACTTTAATTAGACGTGCGGAGGAACATCATATTGATTATCGGTTTGACTATCTGAGACAGCCGTGGTTTGGTAGACTTGTATTGATAGTGGGTAGTGATTGATGGTGAAATAAAAGTTTTGATCGGGGCGGGATTCAAACCAGAGACTACTGGGTTTCCGACTCGGTACTGAGGTGAAAGAAAAAGTCTGGTCAGTAGTCGAGTTTCATAGCTGAGTTGATAAAGCAAAGGATCGGAAATCCGGTGGTCTCTGGTTCGAATCTACTTGTTGCCAAAACTTTCATTTCACCTTAAATCATCACGCAGTATCAGTAGTACAAGTCTGCTAAACCGCAGCTATTTAAGATAGTCAAGAGGATTATCTGACTATATCATTTTATTATTCAAGGCAAATTTGACTTTCTTTTCTTGCTACATCTTGTTTGTGTATTCCATACTGACTTCTAACTGACAGAGTTCAATTCACTGGATTTCGCACATCTTTGACTGACATATGTAGTTTTACATTTATGGTAATATAGTACTTTGTTGTCAATCTACTTTTTCTTCGCTAGTTTTCAATTACATTACTTAGATATTCATGATATTTCAATATACTTTCTTACCTTCAGACTCGTTATCATGATCTCTTATTACTCTGCACCGGCTCTGACTACAGAATGAACTTTATTCTAAGGAACTAAAGTTTATTCCAGCTTCCGTTACAATTTTGTAATTTTTATATTCTACTTTGTTGGCAGCTAATGAGAAGGCAACGAAATAAGATGGTCACATATTATTATGTTCAAACTGTTGTCAGAATGTCATCATTTGCATAAATGAGCAAAACATATTTTTTAGTTTTTGTGATGATAACGATCATCTCACCGTATCCAGATCAAATGGAAAAGGAAATGAAACACTAATCACTAAGTCATATAAGATATAAAAACCGTGACTAACTTACAAACTGTGCCAATATCTGTAAGACACAAAATGGTGTGATTTCCACAAAACCTGGATACAAGTAAAACAATATTCGAATAAAAATGTTTCGAATCCAAATGGAGGCTTTAACGGCTTCAACCCTAGTTAACAGCTTAATCCCAGAGATGCTTATCAAGTCACCTAATTCTTATACATGTACAAAATATTCGGTAGGAACAATTAAACCGGACAGCAATGGACTGATAAGTATAGGCTGTAATATCTGTCGGTAATCGTCAGAAATTGTTTCAATTTCGGTGTTTTATGAACACCTAATAATTTGGTCTTCTGTAAACAGTAGTGAAAGCAGGATGAAAACCAGTTGAAAATAGTTAAGATGACCGTATGAAGTTTTTTACAATATCAAATTAATCAGAATACATTTTTCAAGATATATAGTACCAAGGAATGGCAACAAGTCAATTTCCAATCTCTCCTTTGGTCCATTTTGAACAATCGTACTGTGTTAAGTATTTAGATAGCCAAAGGAGAAAACAAGTACAAAGCTTAACTAACGGCAACCCCGCATATTTAACTAGTTCACTAGTTAACTAACCGGTCCTAACACCGGATAGAGATGGAAGGTTGGGCATAGGGCCAGCAACCGTATACCGGAAAACCAATCCAATCGCTAGACAAATTTCAAAGCATAAGGAAAATATAAAAATTAAATTAAATTTTATTACTCACTGGAATCGGGGAGACTAAATGATGCCAGTTGTTGAAAGCCTTCGAGAAGCCACAGTTCAGGTGTGACACCCACCCAGACCAGAAAATGAAATGAAGGATGAAACTACAAAGGACATCTTCACGACAGTCAGCCATCAGGACAAAATGGGAGACATTGAGCAACATCCCTGAAAGATCGGACATGGAAGAACACTGGTACTTTTTGGAAGAGATGTGGAAGGAAACCTGTACAACAATATTAGGAAGGACGAATAGACAAGACAAGGAGTGGATCTCTATAGACACGCGGAAGCTGATAAGGCAGGGAGAGGAAGTTGGTGATGGTAAAGCAGAAGATGAATCAGTGCAGTGCAATACAATGCAGGGGTGAACAACAAAAAGAAGAACTGAACACAACACATAAGACACTACACTACACAAAGAAGTAGAAAAGAGTCCACCTAAAGAAAGAAAAAAACTTCGACGACACACTGACAAGTGAAGCAAAACAGGCTGCAGGTTAGAGAGACAGAG